TGTGCCGTATGGTCCTCAACTTCCACATAAGCGTTGGACGCCGGACGTCAAGCACGGACTTTCTCCCGCCGTGTTTCTGTTCGCCGCACACACATGCATGTTCCCCCCTCCGGTCCTCGCATCTCCACTCTCCGTGCCATCAGCGCTCAAATCTCGGGCCGGGTAATCGCGATTCCGCGTCGTCGGGCAGAGGCGCGCTGGGCAACCGCGGTGCATCTCTGCAGCTTCTCTCCTCGTCGACTCCGGCGGGCTTTCGCGGGACCGGAGGAGGCCCGTAGAGAAGAAGGCCCCCGTGGCGATGCCCGGCAGCGATAGCTTCTCTCCCACGAACGCGGGGCGGCCCTTTTTCTGGAGAACGGCTGTACGTCGTCCGGGGAGATAAGAAGACGCAGTGCTCGGCCAGGCCAGATGCGCGTGCACCGCCAGAGTGCGCAGAGCTGCTTCTTTTTTCGCGAAAGATGAGCTCCCAAAAATGGGGCTTCTTGCTCGGAAAAAGAAGTTCGGGGGGGGGGGGGGAGGGGGGATGCTCGCCAGACGCAATTTCCTTACACCGGTGCTGCGTCCCTGGCTTCGAGAGGAGTGGATGGACGGCTGGGGGACGAGGCACGTGAGCGTGACGCTTCGCTTATCTGTCCATCGCACGCTCGTGACAGCTCATTGTGTACATTGTGTACATACTCGGAGGCCACCAAACGAAAAGCGCAGTTTAGGCGAGCGTCTGGGTTTTGGTCCCCATTTTGGGGCACCTTCCCGCTCTTCTTCGAGCGGTGCTATTTTCCACAAGGTACCATTTGAACGTCGTCGAATTCTATCGTATTGTCAAATTTCGCTGTGAAGGCGTTTCAGCATGTCAGAGAGGCCCCATGAGCCGTCTAGACTAATCATGTCCGACTACAGAGCAAGTATGTAAAACAGTGTAATCGGGCAACGTCCCAAATAAGCGCAAGAAGGACACTGACACAAAATATTTTCATGTTGTCAAATTCTGCAATGCCATCAATACCTATTACACCTGACAAGAAGTTTAATTCCAACACGTGCCTGGACTTAACATTTTCAACACCAGCATGCACCCCAACTTTCAATGTAATTAAGTGTAATAAAATATGGTAAAAAAATGACAAATCATCATATATACGAGTCATGGCTTCGCTTGTGTCGTGGTATAACGCAACATTCGGTGAAATCATGCAGTGCTCGTCTGTTCGTAAAAAACCGTTACCAACTTGAACTGCAATGTTCGTTTTTTTTTTTCTGTTGCAATGCTTGTATATGTCAGTGACATGCGGCTATAATAAGCCGCTCAGCAAGTTTTGTGAGTCGTGGTAGTTCCAGCTTGCGGTGTTTGTTCCGGTTCGTTGTGACTATGGACAAAGCTTGCGAGTATATACTATGCATGGTTGCTTAGAGAAAAAAAAGTTTTCAAATACGAAAAAACATGTGATTCCAAAGCACATATCCGCTTCCGTCATCAAGCAGTATATTCAAATTTACGGGGCATATATTTCGCAGTGTGTCGGGATAGTCTGCAATAACTAAACATTTCGCTGAGTCAGCGAAGTATGCACGTAACTCGGATGCAGAACTACCAGACACCAAGGTTACCCGCTGCTGGCCAACCGTGTTAATCACCGCTCTGTTAATCGAGCCGCTAATCGTCCCTGGGAAAAAAAAAATGTATTGGCAGATTCCACATGACCTTCACTTTGGCCATTATTCTGCGATCGTATCTCTGTCCAAGGCTTATCGCTAGCCGATCCTGGCCAGCGCAGTAGCGGTTGGTGATGCGGCGAATCACTGGGGCTTGCACGTTCCGTGCCGGTGCAAACCGTGCCGAAACGTGACTCCGACGCATTGTTCTCTTGCACGATACGCGCAAATGGCGCGAACAATACCGCCTTCATGCACCGCATAGGTAGGTATAAGAGAGCGCGCGTTCGGTGTTTTCTTTTACATTTTACATTTTTTACATTTTAATGAGGTTGTTATGACCACATTTCAAGAAATGCACAACACTGATTAGACCCATAGCCATAGGCTATAGTAAGGGGTCTAACGGGAGAAAGTATACAAGCAGAATACAATTTGTATATAAGAAAAAAGTCAAAACATCAAAAAACGTTGATTTTTCAACAAATGAACAAAAATACAAGAAGATACACATTTTCGCACTTTGTTCATAAATAATGAAATAATCAAGTATTGACAAAACATCAAACTATGTGTAAGGCTTAGTACATGGTCATTACTATAGATCTACATGTAGCAAATATTTTGTGAGTGCGCTCGAGAAAACCCTAGAATCTTTAATCAGAAGTGGTATGTTATTCCACACTTTAGCTCCTACTAACTGTAGTAAGCGTTCACCATACACGTTTTTAGTGGGTGGAAGATTAAAATTCCCCAATGTCATGCATCTAGTGACGCGGGCCGAGGAAGAAAAGATAGACACACTTCGGCTGAAGAAGAGGCCGCGCATGCGCACACTCCTTTCTCCTGCTTTCGATTTCAATTAATAAAGGGTTGGTGCTCCAACGCCCTACTTCGTTTGCAGAGCGCCCTCGTTGACTAGAAAAAAAAAAGGAAGGGGGGGGGGGAGGTGTTCTAATCGCCTTGTTGTGCGTAGCTAGTTTATAACGCGGCACCTTGACGGCACGCTCTGCGCTCATTATTTACGAAAACGGTTTCGCCGTTTAGGGAATGCACCCTTTCATGCTGGCCTCCTTGTTGTGACCCGAAACACCGCTGCCTGTCCCTGTCAAATTCGGAACTGTTTGTGCCATCGTCGGAGTGTCCACGCCACATCGCCGCTGTGCTCACGAAAAGCGTTCCCGACCGCTGCTTCGGGAAGGAACAAACTACTTTGCCAGCGTGGTTTGTTGACAGAAGAGGTGTACGTTCTCCCTCCACTTGGCATCGATGTAGTAGTGGGCGCGATGAGAGCTCCCACGACGTGGCACCACTATATATTCCCTTTTCAATGCCGATTGTTTGTTCGCCGTTTGTGGGACAAACCGTGCCTCCCCCCCCCCGGGTCAGTGTGTCGTATAGGGCATCGATTGTCGTTCCGCCGCCGTATAGCGCAGGTCGGCACGCGCCCAAGGTCCCGTTGTGCCAACAAGAGTCGAGAGGGGTTTCGCTCTCAGCGGGTAGGGAGGCCGTGTGGGGTGGGCGGGGGCGCGCGCTGCCGCCGCTGCTGCGCTCGCAGCGGGGAGCGACGTGACACCCCCCCACTACCCGCGACTCCCCCCCCGACACGACGACGCCGTCTCGCCGCCGACTGCGGGCGATTTACGACGTGCCGCGGCGGGCTTCGCTGCGTCTCGTCTGCACTCCTCCTCGCTCCCCCCAACCACGACCCTTTTTCCGCGTGTGTTGACGACGTGGACCTATCAGCCCTGGTCGATGACGGGCCGTCAGTCGCGACGAAGACGCGCGTCGGTTCCTCCTGTCAAATGCTTTGTGTCGAGAGAGCTGTCTGCGTTCCTGCAAATGCGTGGGAATGTCAGAGCCGCTCGAAGACGCTTCCGTCTTGGGTATACCTTCCCCATTACACTCCAGGTGTCTAGCGAGTACGTTGACCGAGTGCGTTAACGTGATGGCTTTCGTGTATGTTTGCCTTTCTATCGTGTTAGCGGTAGACAGACGTAGACGGAACCTGTCACCGTCTCAAGTCAAAATCGCCGAGGAAAACACATTCGATTGGTGCAGCTCACTGGCTTCTGCATGAAATGAACGCAGATGCGAAAAGAGCCCTTCAAATTCTGGGAGTGGCGCCCGATTTAGGTTATACACATTTACCTGCTTTCATAAAGGATAACAGATGGCATCGCAAGGCAGTATGAGACACTGGAACACTCGCGAGAATGCCGCGGTTCATTTGCACGTGTGTGTGTTGTGTGTGAGACTGTAAATGTCCACAAACATATGACGAGGGGAGAAGTATTATGACACGTCAGAGAAAACGTGCTGGTCTGTACAGGACTGCCTGTGCATGTAGCGTTCATTGGCTCAATGCAGACTTTGCAGTAATGAAATTGCAGTGATTGAGTTCTTTTGCGGTAATGAATTACTTTAGTAGGATGGTGATTCAATATAGTGTAATGAATAAAAGAAGTGAGTACTATTTTGAAATTGCCCATGGCTTTCCATATATACTTATAACTTAAATATTAATCATGTCCGCTTTCCATTACAATACAGCTCCATTTAGCTCGCAGCGACTTCATCATAAGGTTACTGAACCATATTTTTCAACTACTGCAGGCTCTAACTTGTTTGTTCCCAGGACAGCAGGAGATTGGAACCACCTACCTGCCTTCATAACGGACATAACTAATACAACTGCATTTAAAAAGGTCCTATCAAGCTTACTATAACGTTACACGATTGTTTTTTCTACAGTGCTTTTAACTAATTCGATAGATGTTCTCTAACGTGCTTTACAAAATTTTCGTAGTTCTGTATATTGCTTCCATTTTACTGTTTAATGTTATTGTTATGATCTTGTTTTCCGTTTTACAATGTACACCCCACCCCATCTGTAATGTATTTATAGCCTGAGGGAACTCTAAACAAATAAATAAACAAATATACATTTGAAAAAAAAACGATAATTTAATTTCATGGTGGAATTGGAACGCAGATACCTAAAATTTCGATGTGTACACGCGGTAAATAAAGTGTACATGAAGAAACAAATGACCAGTCTTTGGTAAAGTAATTCCATTATTTTTTTTTTGAAAAGTGACAATAACGTAATGTCTTTACTTTCAGTCAGCTGTAATTCGTAATGTGCTTTAATGTGATGAAATCCTAAAAAAAAAGTGGTTATTAATGTTGTTTCTGGAGGGATTCTGCCATTTATGGATGAACATATCTCTGGCACTCCCGGGCACACTGTTAGGGACTGATGATCGATGAGATATATAGGCAACTTTACTGCGTATTGTATTCCGAGTGACTCGACTAATTTCCAACTGCTTCGTTCCTTCTCGCAGGCAAGCAGATCACGTGCGCCTGCACGACGCAGCACTGCCGCGAGCAGGGCACGAGCCGCTGCAACACGACGTCCATGTGCTACACGCAGTACCTGCAGAGCCGCGACCCGAACACGGACCCGATCACGCGCGGCTGCATCAACAGCCGCACGCCGCTGCTGTGCGAGAACCGGAGGCCCGCGGTGCACTCGGCCGCCCGGTGGCCCCAGCTGGTCTGCTGCAGCGCCAACCTCTGCAACGAGGGCGTGCTGCCGCCGCCGCTGCTCGCAGGTACGCGCGCCTATTCTCGTGAAGGCGTGGCGTCGCGTTGACGTCCTGTTTCCGTCTTTCCTATCTCTCTTAGTTGATCGACGTAGCGCGTTTAGAAACATAGGACAAGGGAAGGGACAGAAGGGAGCGCTTCTGTCCCTTCCCTTGTCCCTTCCCTTGTCCCTTCCCTTGTCCTATGTTTCTAAACGCGCTACGTCGATCAACTATGTCTTACCAACATGCCCAACTTTATACTCTAGTCCTATCTCTCCTATCCCCTCGATATGTCGTCGCTCTCTGGGTTTCCTCGTCTCTCTCTCTCTCTCTCTCTCTACACCTTTATTTCTATCCTTCTACTCTCTCCTCACCCCACATCCCTTGTGAGCTACTGTTGAGGTGTCGCTCCCTGAAGCAGACAGTTACGGGGCTCACTTTTCTCTCCCTTATCTTTTTAGAACCACTTTGTGCGCGCGTTTGTCAATGCAAGACATATTTTACGAAGTTTGAAGAGAATGTCAGCGAATGGAAGTTGGAAGGTCTTTCCCATATCTCATATATGAGTCGTTTCGGAAGTACACGAAGTCAGGTTTCGAAGAACTGATATCCAGGAAGGAAGGAACAAAAGGGAGAAGGCAGGAAGGTTAACCAGAAAGACATCCGGTTGGCTACCCTACACTGGGGAATTAGGGAAGGGGACAAGAAAGATGAGAAAAAATTACTGAAATGTAGATGTTGACTCCGAAAAGATCTATTCTTTTTCAACGACATGTTGACCCCATCGGATGTCCAACGAAAAAGAATGCTTGAAACAAGTCACGTCTGTGAAGTTCGTGAACATACTTATTTTAAACCCTTGGTCTATAGATATTCGTTTGAGTCGATCTGTAGATGCTTCCGATCTTGGTCGAAACGCAAAACGGGATTGCACTTACAGCGTGGGCGAGGTCGCTTGAAAATGACGTGAAGCACTCACTGCTCGATGTGCCGCCGAGTCGGTTCTGCATTGATTCGAGCACACCCGAAAGTGTCTGCGCAACACAAGTGTTAGAACCCCGCGCGTTCCTTTGTTCTTTTGCAGAGACGGCGTCATCGTGGCCTGCGCTTCGACCCGAGGCAAGCAGCAGCGGCGGGATCGACGGCGTCTCCACCGAGTTACCGCAGTCGCCGCCGAACAACGAGGACGAAGACGTCGGCGACGACCGGCTGCTGAGCCCCGTGCACGTCGCGGTGCTGTCGGTGGGTGCGTGCGCGCTGTTCGCCGTCGCACTTCTCGTCATCGTGGCCCTCGTGAGACGCCACGCCGGACTGCTGGGTGCGCGCTACGTGCGCGGAAACTACATCAAGGGTCGTCGCCAGAGCGCCTCCGACGACGGCGCGCCCAACGGAGGCACCTACGACAACAAGATGGCCGTCGTCTCCTGATCGGGACCGGTCGATCGACTCGATGTGTTTTCGTGTGGCCACGCGACAACCGCAGAGACTAGTTCCTAAAGTGAACTTAGGTCGGGACGGACACTTTCGAACCTGTGTGTGACCTCTCGGTGATCAGCATGACTTGGCGAAGCGTTGAATGGCCCTGCAGTTGGGACTCTGGTGCCTGGTACAGTTCCCGCAAAGTTGTTGCGGAGAACCACTTGGGACTGGAACCGCGGGGAGTACAAGCACGGCACCTTTGTCAGAAAACCATTCTTCCCGACTGGAAGACCTGAACACTAGCGCAACCTTTTCTTCATGGTTCATCGAAGGTTATCCTGAAAGTGACTGCCCTTGTGCGAGCGGCGCTGCAGTGTCGGTATTTCGTGCCCGAGTGTGATCCATTCTTTCAATTATGGAGGTCAGTTTCGCCGCAGGCTCTGGGACACGCGATTTATGACCCCCGCGAGCAACGCCTTATCTAGGTCATCAATCCACTTGTGGAACGCTTCTGAAAGGCCAAACTTGCGCGTCCGGTTGCGTGTCCGCCTGGTGGTATGCGTAGTACACCTCAGGTGCTTTTGCGAGGGTCATTGAGGTATGTCGTGGCGGACGTGGTATTGTCGATTCCGAGGAAATTCGAGAACCCTGCGGGGTAGACGTGACATCCCCGCGGCTCCCTCACGCGCGAAGCCTTGCGGTAGCACTGCGATTGAGCGCACATCAGCGATGACCTTCGGCGAGGACGTTCCCGATGGCCGATCGCGGTCGTTACCGTTTCCTGTTCGCCATTCGCGGCCAAGAATCGGCGCTACCTGTTCCGTTAAATGCCAGCCCTCGAACCCACTCGTGGGTCACGATCCGGAGCAGGACTTGTGTAGACTAGCGCCGGCCTTCGGATGGAATAATCGACACCTTATTTAATTAGGTAGTTTGTTATAAAGGCTCACACGGCCAATGAAATGTCAGCTTTTCGTCGGGAGCTTAGCGTATACATGCGCTTGTCGCAGCAGTGGCCGACACGCACAGTTCGGCGAAATCGCGTTGCTGGCCGGCTGCCTAAATCTGGAGCTTCGTAAGTTACCAGTCTTGGACCGAGATGAATTGGGTCAGTTCGACTAAATTCAATCAAGTTCGCCAGACTCCGAAAAGAATGGCAATGCTGTTCTGGAAGCCTATACGTTAGAGCGATGACTTAATGGATTCGTGATTAATTAAACGCAGGTATTCTTATTCAGCTCGCATAGAATATTATATAAGAGAGCCGCGACTCGCCGGACGGTATTCCTAAGCAATTTGAAAGGACCATTGTATAAAGAACAAGCTCATACTTTATTTTTTCTTTCTAGGCGGACAGCCTACAATAACACACACAAAATAGTTCAGCACTCGCGCTAGTTACGCACATCCAGTACTAAATACAGCCCAATAGAGGCGTTTATTCAGGGATCAACTTAACAAATTGTGTCTCCATCATTAACATAGTGTTGTTGAGTTAAGTCTGTGCGTACCGAACGCTCGAACAATCATGTTGTACTCGTCGTTTTCATCTCCGCCTCCCCGAAACTCTGGAACAACATTAATCGCTGCCTGCGGTGCGACCTGTTTCGTTTCCCCTCCATCGATCGTTGGTTGTGGTGTGCCTCGTGCCCCCCCGTCCCTGGTTGTTTCTCGTGTTGTTTTTTGTTTTATGCTGTTGATCGTATAAGGGTTTGTTGTACGCGTCCTACAGAATGTACGGCGAAAGTATTCCTTTTCGGAATCTGGACTGCCCACACGCACACTTAGCACTATACTCTACGAATCTGTGCACTGTAAATAGTCGCCCTGTGAGAAGCCAACTTTTTTTTTATTTCTTCATCTACGCTATATACCTGACCCACCACACCCCACCTTAGTCGCTGTGATAGGGTTTTTTTTTTTCAATGGTGGGATCTATAGCGAATACTGACTGATAACAAAGGAACGCAGGTCTGGTAGGCATTTCTTGGAGGTTATGTTTTGTTTCTGGAATCTTCGGTTGATTTAAGGTCGCTTAACGTTCACCGCGCGTAGAACACTTGAAGTTTACGTGTACAATGCCTAGATTGACAGGCTCAGCCAAGAATTCGCAAGCCGACAACTAATGGGCACTGAGACGCGCTTCAAACGTTCTAAGCTTCCATGATCTCCGTACAAAAGATACCAAAAAGTGCCTCGTTGTAAGTGCCTTTAAGAAGTTTAAAAGAGTTTCGCATCAATGCGCCGTGATTTCGCGAGCCTGATCTTCGTCTACAGCTGCCGGGCGCCACGTTAGTCTTAAAGATGCGAACAAGACTTGATTGAAAGAAGTCTGATGCCTGCTGAATTTGCCCCGGATAACGGCGTGCCCGAACGTTCGAGAGTGCGCACTGAGGTCTCTAGCCTCTTCTTAACTTCTCTCTCTCTTTTTCGAGAAACGCGAGAGCTGTCTTTAGCGGGCCTCGCCCTGCCTCGGCCGCAAATTAACGCTGCCACCCGACGGTCGCCATATTTAGCGCTGCCTTTTCTTTTTTTTGTCTGGTGTGCCTTAGCTTGCTGATGGACGGAAAGCCTTCGGGCTGTATGCAACGGCTGTGCACACAGTGACCCCAGTGCACGTCTTGCGTTCTCTGCCGCTCCGCTGACCGTCGTTATCCTTTCTGTAAGGCTGGTGCACGCGACGGACAAACACCTCAGACGACGAGAACGCACACGTCCGCCGGTGGAAACCCGTTCCGCGCCGTGAAACATAAATAAATAAATAAAAATAGACAGGGGTGCAATGTTAAAGCGGATGCGGTCTGTGTCGGTTTCTCGAACATTTAGCAGTGTCAGCGGTCGTCATCAAACAGCTCGCTTCTGACCAATCGCGTGAGTGGAAACCGAAAGTTCGAAAACCCAAGAAAGAACGAACGCTTCCGATTTTCTCCAGGGTACAGGGCTCGAAAGGAAAGACCCCCCAGAGGGGGGGGGGGGATATTTATCGCCGTTGCCGTTCTATTAATGCTATTTGCTATCGGCTAACATATTAATTCGTACATTAGCTTTTTTTCTTATTGTGCGCGCGGGGCACACTAAAGGTAGTTCGATGCAGTTGCTTACGTTGCCCGTGCAAGCCGCTATGCACTGCCGAAGGGCTTCACTTTTTAACGGCGTTTCCAGTCATATTACGAACCAACCAAAAGCAGCATTCTACCGCGACCCGTCGGAGAAACATTGAGTTGCCCGAAGAGCTTATAAATAGCGTGGTACGGTTGGTGTGTTGGTATCGAAACTTAGAAACGACTCGAGTGATTCAGGCTTAAAACCGTCGCTTTTGCTCTGTATTCTGTCATACCGCGCACTGCCACTTCGCCGTCGTTTGCATCAGCCCTTATCGATACGCCTCGGTCGTGCAGAATGCTGAGTCAGCCGTTTGTCTCTTCGTTTGCTGGCACTCGCGGCGCGAACGCGAACACCGCCAACGTATAGTACGCCGCCTCGCCCCGTTCCAACTGTGGTCCGCTTCCCGTCTGCGTAGCCAAGGCCGCAGCCAGACGTTTTATACATTCCCAGATATCTCCTCGCACTCGTCCGCTGCTGCCGACGGACTTTTTTTACTTTTCCGGACGCGCGCGAAGACGTGTTCAAAGTGCCTACGCTGTTCGCGCGGTTTCACATTTTTGAAAGTGGTGCGCGTGAGATGAAATAGAGGGGCTTTTAGGTGAGGGTGTCCTAGTGACGCAAGGTGCATTTTAGAGAGCATTTGCGTTCTCTTGTATATCCGAGCTATAGCGAGTTTCGATTAGGGTACCCTAACGCTCAGGCACTCGCGCCTAACACGCTACATGTTTGAAGCCATTTGCCTGCTTTTTGTACTTTTGTTGTACCTCGCGAGATTGAGTTATAGTGCCTGAGCGATTGGGTACTCTTATCTGAAGAGCCGTGCTGATCAACAACTCCGATGCTGCTGCGTCTGTCATGCATTTTGAGCACTGCAGTGAAGCTGCCAACAAGCCTTTAGGTCTCCGTGCCTGATATTATTATATTAGTTCAGTTCCCCTTCTATTTTTTTTTTTGCTTGCCTTTCATCATTATTTCTCGTTTTTGCGGCTTGTACTTTATGACTCGAGTTTCTCGCTTGTGTCATCGTGACGTTGTTTTGACATGCGCGTCATTTCACCATTCATTCCTGCACTCTCAATTGATGTTTCTTTTCTCTTTGCTATCTCTGATTATTTAATCTCATTTCTGTAAATCTGCGTCAGATTGACGTTCGACTGTATAGTTGTACGAATCTCGTTGTTTTCTCGTGTCACATGCGTGACGTAGGAGATCTCCCTCATTTCTTTGCCATCTTTTTTTTTTTTGTCACCGCGAACCCACAAGCAGAGTGCATGTCGTGTCAAAATATTCTTCAATTGCTGGCGCGTTGAATTATTGCATCCTGTAAAACGTTGTCGAGACTTCAGTATATTTCTTTTTTTGTTTCGCTTGTGTAGACACCGGCTTTCATCGACCACTATTTGACGCTCTCATTGTACTCACACTATGGTTGGTCATTTTTAATAACTTAGGTTTGTTCACTTAACAAAAAAAGTGATAGAGAGAGAAAGATGGTAAGTGTAAGGGACAAGAATCTACTCACAGTTAGGTCGCCAAGACATGTACATATTGATACGAAGAACGTTGTTAAAACATTCCTTGACCCGTATGCAGCCATTATAAGCTGTCCGGAGATTCTTACTATCTAGAGAATGGATTGCAAGTGCGATTACGTCATAACACTGCTTCGCTCGGGCTCGATGCGCAAGCTCATAGCTTCCTCCAACAGCGTTGCGAAGACACAGGAATTGCTGACTGCACTTTATGGGCCCAAAATTCACTTCATTAGGGGAACACACATGCTGATCAACCACCCATAGCTGGTTGTCCCTAGAAAACCGAAGGTCTACAGATTATTTAACCGTCTACAAACATCGGTTGTAGTGTGGCCAAAACACACTTCTCGCAAATCAGCAAAAATGCGTCAAGCGTGTAACACTGTCATGTTGATTTGCATGGCGCGTTCTAACTTGACACTGTTACTTACGTCTTGTGAAGTCCTTAAATTGTCACAACACCCTTCGAAGCACCGTAGAAAAGCATGGCGCACTTAGCATGTGGGTTCGTGGCGTCTGATCTTTCGACAAAAATCTCCCCACATTGCACTCAAAGCGACTATATTGTGTTCGTATATTGTTACTTCGGTGCGGACGAGTTCCCACACGTTCACTGTTTTTTTTTCTCCCTCTGAAGTCATGTTTTTTTTTTCTTGCACGGAAACGTTGTCCTAACTTATTTATTTATGCTCATATTATTAAGTTGTCATTTTGTGACTATATATTATTATATTCAGAGAGATGCTATTCTATTGAACGACATGCCTCAGTGAACTAAACTTTGTCCTTTCTTTGTTGTTGACGGTGTAGTGGTTGTACATAAGAGTGATATATACAAAAAGTGCGTTTGTGCGGTTTTCCTTTTTGTACAAATGTTTATATGCACAGTTGCCAAGATGAATGAACACCATTGTAAAGATAAAACGCCATTGTCTGTTTGCTTCTTTCGACCGAAGAGCTTCCACAGAAACCAAGCTTGGTTGGTTGCCTCGTAGTTCCGTAGCACACTAAGGATTGTCGCTATCCTCGTCAAATGCAACATGTGGTGTGTTACCAGAGATGACCAACAGCAAGGAGCTGCTTATAAGATTACATTCAATTTCTTGATCTCTGTCTTGAACGGCTTAAGCTATAGCTGTCAGCTGTTAGCTCAACACAAGTTGTATTCGTACAAAATTCATCTACCCTTTAATATTATTGTTTACTTAAAGTATGTCAAAGGCCCATACTTTAGTGGCACTACGTGTGGGGTGGGCAAGTAACACAAACTTGAAGCTAGTTGGACCGGAGAGGGTCTCTATTGCAAGAGCCAATACATATTCCAGTTCCCTGATACACGGGTAAAGAAATAAGTTTGCATATAGAGATAATTAGTGGTAGTAGACATATGTGTGAAAAGAACTTCGGTATTAGAAGCGGCGTCATTGCTCCTCTTTGTCGCACAGCAAAAAAAAAAAGATCAATAAAAACATGTAACGATGACATGACATTTCAAGAACTTTTTAGTCCTGAGACAAATGACGAAGGAGCCCTAGGGCTTTGATTGATTGATATGTGGGGTTTAACGTCCCAAAACCACTATATGATTATGAGAGACGCTGTAGTGGAGGGCTCCGGAAATTTAGACCACCTCGGGTTCTTTAACGTGCACCCAAATCTGAGCACACGGGCCTACAACATTTCCGCCTCCATCGGAAATGCAGCCGCCGCAGCCGGGATTCGAACCCGCGCCCTGTGGGTCAGCAGCCGAGTACCTTAGCCACTAGACCACCGCGACGGGGCGCCCTAGGGCTTCCCATCAAGTCGGTGGCTCCACCCAGGACGGAATCGGCAGGTGGTGACTCTCTGCGACGGCACGGGCCCTCTGGACAGCCTATGGATAGCCCGATTCATATCGAAAGGGATACAGTCGAGGAAAAGACTGGGAAAGCAACTTCCGATTTTTATACCCTGTGGTATTGATTTATGTCACTGAATCATTACTTGAAAATCTTCTTTATAAGCATGTCGGAAGCACTAAAAAACATTGAAGTGACTGATGCGAGCTATAGCAGCAGCAGGCTGCAAGAGGGTCAAACTGCTCGGCCGTTTTCGACCCGGCGAGTAATCCTAGAAAGAGAGAGTGGTTCACGAAGCGTGATGGTGCCGCGTACGCATGTGCTGGCGTATACACTGCAAACGTTATGGAGATTCATGACGACGAAGTTCACAAAGCGACCAGAGGCCAGTGTTGCCTACCAATTTTCAGAAATTGACCTTCGTAATGGCCGAAGTTAC